CGATAAATATTTATGAAGTGCTCAAGAACGAAAGAAAAAAACCACAGACCTCCATTCAATCTTAGTTTTAGCAGCGTTTATGCAACAGATATCAAACTCTAAAATCAAAATATATTATATTCGAAAGGTAATTTGCATACGGACCCGTTAGAGACGATCTTTCGATTAAAATGTGAAATTATTTTAATTTGAAGTCAAAGCGACGGAGAGGAAGAATATATACATAGGAATAGAAAGTGCACGATAGATATGTAGATAGATAGACAGATAGATGGATAGAGAGAGAGAGATAGATAGATAGACAGATAGTTAGATAGAGACAGATAGATAGATAGACAGATAGATAGATAGAGACAGATAGATAGATAGATAGATAGATAGATAGATAGAGAGAGAGAGAGAGAGAGAGAGAGAGAGAGAGGTACATGAGGGAAAAAACCATGAAAAACAGAGAAAGAGATAGATAGACAAAGAGGGCGAGAGAGACAGAGAAAAAGAAGAGAAAGAAAAGGAGAGAGAACAGATTGGGAGGCGTATGGAGAGATCGAACTGGAGAGTTATTATTATTATTATTAATACAATTATTATAATTAACTTGGCCAGACAGATAAAAATAAAATAAAATTAATATATGAAATTCAAAGCATTACATTATTTAACTTAGCGCTGAAATTTGCAAAAGTTTTCATACAATTTGACACAAACAAAGAATATATAAGTGATAGTTAGATGACTTTGACCGATAATTAAAGTTCTAATTTATTTTAATCGAAGGATTAATGCAAACTGATTGCAATAAGAACGTTATCCATTAGTGGTGAGTATACGATATTTCGCTTTAAGGCGATTATAATTGTTGAAAATTTATATATTATAGAAATAAATTTCTTTTATTTTAGTTGTTATAGAATAGTCAATGAAAGTTAATTAATTTTATTATCATAGATTTCAAATAAACAAAATGTGATAAAAATAATTAGAATTATTATTATTGTTTTTTTTTTTTTTTTTTTTTATTACATTTTATTACAATTAAATTGATTTAGAATTATTTTAAAAAAAATTTTTAGAAACTTTTTTTACAAATCGAATCACCCAAAGACACTATTTTGTAAATTATATCCATTAGGCTAATTAAATTATAGTTTAGATTAAATGAAGAGAATAATAAAAAATAAGAAAAAAAAAACAAAAAACAAAATAAACGTAACAAGAATTTTTAAGCGTAGTTAAAACCATTAACTGAAAAAAAAAAAAAAAAATTAATAATAATAAAAAAAAACATATTTCGCCTCTAGCTTTGTTTTTGTTATTAAATTAAATATTATATCAAATATAATTGCTTTACATTTTCAAGAAAAATATTTATAATTAAAACTGCGTACAAGTACATGTGTATGTTAGATATACTTTTTATGAGAATTAAAAAAAAAAAACTCTTTGTTTTTTTTTTTTCTTTTTAATATTTATTATTAAAGTTCTTTAGACAGTTCTTTAAAAAGTAATGTAATTACTGTTCCTGCGCACTTGTTGCTTTCCAAGGAAAATTAACTTAAATGATTTTCTCTTTTTTTTTTTTTCAATGTTTTTATTTCACAACTATCTACACCATGCGTAAGAAAAAGGAATAAAACAACATTATTTAATGTTTTAAATCAATATTGCCATCAAATAAATGATTAATAAATACAAATAAAGTAAAAATTAATTAATATCATTATATTTGTGTTTTATTTAATATTTAATATATAATTTAATATCAGATTTTTAGAGCTCCTTTTGCTTGAGCGCCTTTTGATCTTGACTGATCTCAGTCAGTTTTGACTCAAACATCAATATTGAAGATTTACCCCTTTTTTTAAAGAAAACTTATTTAAAACTGTCTTTACATATATATTTAATTACATCCTCTCACTATAACCCCTTGCGGAACGCGGATATATTAGATTTGTGCGCGAATTTCTTATGCAAGAACTAGAAGGACTTGGGATAGACCCGCCATTTACGTTGCTCATTTGCTCTTTTGCTCTCATTCAATTATTCTATTCTTAACATTCCTTTATTACGGCGATCGCGTCTCGCTCACATTGTCAATGTTCAATATGTGAAGGTGTCCCATCTTTCGCCAAGGTAAGCATTATGCAGAGTAAAACAAGGGTCGTATCTCATAGAATTAGGCGACTCGTACGAGTGAGTATGATCACTAGCTGATAATTACGAGCCAAGATTGCATCGCATCCGGACCACTAAATAAACGTTTTTATTGTTTAATTTGGATTTGGGCGTGGATTGTGAATAAAAAAGAGAAACCCATCTTACACTGTATAAAAATTCATTTTTCCACCTAACGGAACTAATAATTACATACATGTATGTATGTGTTAATTATGTTGATCTATCACCGATCTGAGAATAGTTTAAGGTTTTTGAAGGGAGTTGCAAAAAAAACCACGAATTCAATAAATTATCCCAAATTTTCTCTATAACCTCATAGCTAGAATGTATTGTACCTTATATGACCCGCTATGACCTCATAGCTAAAACGTATTGTACCCTATATAACAAGTTTCATTCAAACCCATCCTGGGACAAACGATAGACGCCTACACGTACGCATAGATGGGCAGACATGACTAAATTGACTCGGAACCATATTAACTGACAGAAAAGACTCCGATATATCCTTCTTCTTTAACAGGCTTGTTCATAAGCTATTTGAGCATCTAGCACAAATTTTCAAAACACATAACCGAAGGACGACATTATATTCATTTCCTGCCAGCATTGCCAAAAAACTTAGAATGAAGCCTCATAGATCCCATAAAGTATATGTATATATATATATATATATTATATATATTCTAGATCGCTATCAGTATAATACAAGCTGATAACATTTTCGATGTCGTACATAATGACATTGTTTTGGTGAACTAATAATAGCTATACATAACCGTGAAAAGTTCACCATTCCCACGCCACATCATGCATTATCGAAATGTAATTTTTTTCGTGTTTTTCCACTGCTTTTTCC